ACATTGAAAAGTATCTATGAAAACCGCTACAATTCAACTATGGTTTCGAAGCATGCTTTACCACTAAGTACAAAGTACTTTCCCATAGGTATCTTCAGTTTGAACATTACCGCTACTGCGTTCCAAGTAACGTGTCCAGTGGATTGGCCTCTCTACCTTTAGTTCACGTTTGGTACGATGGAAAGGAAAATACATCTTGGCCAACAAATCCAGAACTATCTAACGGTGACAGGTTGAACGGTTCTGAAGCATACGCTATGATCTTACCATATTTCACGACTAATGATATGACGCCGATGGATGTGCACAGGCTGGGATGGGAGCAGTTAAAAATGCTCTACCCGTTGGTATGTGTTTTGCAGATTTGAAATCAAGTTCTCGGCGAAAAAGACTCTTTAGGAGGGTTCTTTGAGAGTTTTTCTCACTTTTTTTTAGAGTTACAGTTAGGATTATTAGTGGAGACCATTAACTGATCGAATTGACAAGCTGCACAGTTCTCAGCAAATCTCCCCTTCCATTCTCTGTATACAGAGAAGAGTTTCACGATGGGTGATGAACATTTCGAATAATTGCAAATGACAGAAAAACCGAGTAATGTGATTAGTTTCTTACTATCTGAGCGTTAAGGCCGCACAGGGGAATATGGGCCCGAGGTCGTGGCAGCACGAACAAAAACGACCGTTCGCGGACAAATATTTCCTAGAACAGTTCAGGCAAGCGAGGTTAGCAAGAAGTTTATATATGGCTCTCGGAATCAACTTGTTTATTCTGAAGTTGCCAGCTTTCATGAAGAACAAGAAAATACACGGCGTATTGCCGTTTCCTTGGAAACGGTCCGATATGGCAAGATCTCGACCAATAAAGCAGCAGTTAGAGCGCTCGACCACCTTGCCATATGATGAAAGCTTTTATGCTATGAGGCAAGATATGCTAAAGCCAATGTTCTCTTGAATAGAGGTAAAATTTTGTGTGTAAGTGATCTATGAAATGGTACGGGTTTGGAACGAAGAACTAAAAGAGCATCCTTAGAGAACTTTTAATAACTTACCACTGCTTCTACATAGGCTGTGGAGGCTGCCAAAAGTGCTACTGGAGAACATAACGAAACTACAGCGATCAAGAAATTCAAGGAACAACTCAACTCTACTGACGAATACTTCAATGACGAAGCTTTTCCTAAAAACGAATCTGACGAGGATGCACACGCAAAATGTAGCAATATCGAAGGTGCTAAGAAATATTGTCCGACCAGATGGAAAACCCTTGAAAAATGGTTTACGGAGGCCAGATCGGTATGAAGTGATTTGTACTTTTTGGCTTGTTTTTGATCCAAAAATTGATGAACAACAACGTTATGCAGTCGGTCTAAAATGATTATAAATTGGTACCAATCTGTTAGAAGCTGTTATTAACTGTCATTTAATTCTCCATTCCATCAACTCTATAACTTTACATCTATTACAATTGTCTGACAGTGGATTTAGCCCTAGAATTAAAATCCCATTTGCATTGGTTTTATTTCCGTCAGGTTTCTCATGTGAGGCAGTTTACTTGGTCTTACCTTTAACTTTCACAAGCTTTTTCTTTTTTTTTAATGGTCTTTGTAATTTCCCTTTTCAACATGATTATTCTTTTGTTGATATAGGTTATGAGTATGCTGTACCCTAAAATTACCGACATGTTTTACTTCGCTGGAG